GGGGGGGGGGGGGAATCCAGGACTGTGTGTATGCCTCCTTTTAAAAGGTGAGTAATACGTTATCTGAATTTCTCAGTCACAAAAAGCCATGGATGCAATCAGGATACTTGGAAGTTTAATCTTTGCTAACTCAGGGTGGGAAGAAACCATGGACGGAAACCCAGAAGTTTTTAGGCAAAATGACGTATCAGTTGTCACCTCCCTGGTGTCATAGGGCACTCCACCTCGGGGGCATTCACCCACTTCAGCAGCTGCACTGCAGCATAAAATGTAAACTCACAGTGAAGTGGCCTGAAATTTTAAGGCATATAAAGGTTGAAACTCTCATTTAAACTTACTGCAGACCACATCTGGCTTCAAACCCCACTGAAGAACTGTACCAATGCATTTACACCAGCCTCCATTTGGACTCATCCCAAGCCCACACACAGCACAATTAAAGGAACACATGGATTACTGTGACAGTGTTTGTGCATGGGAGAAAAATAAAGATCCTTCAGCCAAATAAGTGCAGATGAAAAAAAAAACCTAATTGTGCTTTCTGGAAATACTGTAGTAATTGGGACTCCACCTAAGCGTAACCTCTGGAAGAAACGATTTGGTCCCCTCACCAGTGAAATTATCACAAGGGAAGCAAGTCTCTGACATTGCAGAGGATCAGGCTGCAAGCCTGCATTGGCGGCTGAACACTTCACTGATTGAAACAGAAAACCAAGCGTTATCGGATAAAAATTTGAATAGAACAGAACAGTTCAGTTCAAATTTCAGTTGAAGTGACCTACAATGATCAAGCCCAACTGCCTGACCAATTCAGGGCTGACCAAAAGTTAAAGCATGTTACCAAGGGCATTTTCCAAATGCCTCCTAAACACTGACAGGCTTTGGAGCATGAGCCACCTCTTTAGGAAGCATATTGATCACCCTCTCAGTAAAAAAAACTTCCTCATGTTTAGTCTAAACCCCCCCTGACAGACACAGCTTTGAGCTATTCCCACACATCCTATCACTGGATCCCAGGGAGAAGAGATCAGCATCTCCCTCTCCACGTCCCCTCCTCAGGAAGCTGTAGCAAGCAATGAGGTCACTCCTCAGCCTCCTTCTCTCCAAATCAGACAAGCCCAGATTCCTCAGCCTCTCCTCACAGGACATTCCTTCCAGCCCCTTCACCAGCTTTATTGCCCTCCTCTGGATGCCTTCAAGGACCTTCACATGCTTCTTAAATTTTGGGACCCAGAACTGCACAGAGTACTCAAGGTGAGGCTGTACCAATGCTAAATTTGGGAAGCCGAGGGTCCATGTCCCAAGAACCATATCCTGTCTCTGGGAACTCACCTGTGTTGCAAGGACAGCTTCCCTTGCAATATCTGTCATGGTAGTCTTAATTTTAGTCTTGTCTATACTTAGGAAGGAGAGGTGGAGGGGAAGGTGCTGTCCCTTGCTAAGCCACCCATTTCTCAACATGGACTCAGGCCAGACTCAGTACTGGTATCCCACTGCCTCTCCACCACTCCACACTCAGAAAAGACAAGTTCTCCTGGACTTCACTGGAAAGGAACTGGATAAAGCAAGAGAGACGTCATTTGAGGTAACACTGCAGTGAAGATACTTCCCTCCTACTAGCTGTTCTTGTGTCCAGAGACAGAATTGGGTGCTCCATTCATAAACCGACTCTGGAACAAGATTTTGATGTAGCAGTGGGGCTCAGATCACAGTAACAAATAGCTCTGTGGTTCCTTACAGTAATGAGATGATTATGATGCCTTAACTCCACTCATATGATGCAATATGCTCAGTTCTGCATTGCACCTAGGTACAATGACATGGGTGAGAGAAAAAAAAAACAAACATGGAGCAAATTGGTGTCAAATTCCCAAGGACATATTTTTTTTAAAAGGTTTCTTGGATGAAAGTGGTAAATATCTATATAAAATGTTTAATGGACAGTTTGCTTTAATTAGCATCTAATGCAACCATGAGATGTATAGAGGAATTGTTGTGCAGAGTTGTATCCATTCCCAATCACATGACCCTGAGAACATGCAAAACTGAGCAGTACTACTGAAAGGCTTAGTACACTCATGCCTATGCAGCAAAATTTGAGGCCAGACTGTTCTTGGCTAGAAGAAAGAGATCACTTAATCACTGAAATGCAGTCTGCACAAGCAGACACAAAGAATCATTTAAAATAGTTTTCCTTCATCCAAATGCAGACCTGATAGGACATACAGCTAGGCAAAGTTGCATAAAGTATGGTCTCTAAAAGTACCAAGGAAGAACGTGACTGTCACCCAGTATTCATGCAAGACATAGACCGTGATTACAATACTCTTTACTTTTAAGATACTCTCAGATACCTTTCACTGCATTTACTATTTGATCAACGTTTTCTTAATTGGGGAAGTGAATACAAGAGTGTAGCCAAAAATACTGTGTGCAATTAATTTAATAGCATTGTAGAACAGCAAATCCACTCCTTTAGAACATCATTAATCAACATGTTTCTTGAACCAACGAGAAATCTATGGCCTGCCATGAAACAAAATCTTCCACAGGAGCAAGGTTCAAAAGTAGAACACATTATATGTTTAAGATTACTGTCATTAAAGGTCTGAGTAAATAAAAAAAGATTAGAAACTAGTTTTATGGTCATAAAATACAAAGATTTTCTTTAAAACAATTATGGCAAACATTCCCTGAGAATTAAGAATCAGCAACAACTCTTGCCAGATTGTTTTTTCTGTTACAGTGCAGAAACGTTATAGCACATTCTCTCCATTCAAAGATCACGCAGGAAGATTAAAGGCTACAGTTTTTGTTTATGTGCATCTTCTGCACGTGCTCACTTTTTTCAAGAGAATTAAATCCAGACGCAGCAACCCTCAGCACTGAGGCTAACCAGGACATGAAGGGAGAAAAGGCAGTTAACAAAAGGTTTAATCCACATGTTGAGTGTGCGTGTTCAGAATTCTTTTTTTTTTTTTTTCCCTGCACTAGGTTTTCTAAATTTGCCCTTCCAACTGATAGGCTATGGCAGCATTCTGGAATAACCCCCTCCCTCCCCCCAGGAACACACATTATAAAATACATACCCACCACAAAAGTGTCCCACTTAGACAAGTGACTTGCTGTCTAAGCAGAGAAGGGAGATAAAACAGAAGAGTGGAGTAACTATTAAAGTTGAAATAATCGATTTTAATGCCTAAAATTAGATTTTATGGCCCACGGTATTGCTGAAAGTTATGTGCAGCACAGCTTTATCGTTGCATCATTCCTCAGCACACAGAATTAAAGTGCAGTAAACATTCAGAATTCGGTGCAACACACTGTCACTAAAAAAAAAAATCTACTTTTTGTTATTAATTCAGCTCAGTAAGATGGCATTCTGGGGTCAGTTTGCACTGACCCAGAAAAAGAAAAGATCCTATCAGGATCCAAATTCTTATATTGTAGTAGAGGGTTTCTTTCTGACTTGCCCTAACACTAAATCAATATATGCATATCTCCCTGCAGCTACCTGATAGTTCCCTGTCTCTCTCTCCAAGATAGCACAATCATTATTTCTTTGCAACTTGCAGGTCTTAGCTCTGCTGAATTCTTTCTTTCATTTCTTCAAAGCATCCAGCAGATCTGGCAGTATCTGCTATTGCTTGATACATGTGTGGTGCAACCCAGAAGTGTACAGCATTCATTGACAGGGGACTATGAAAACCTGACCAAAGGGTCTTTTGTTGGTAAAGATTGTTGATATGGGGTAACAGCAGTAGGGAGGACAGCTTCAAGAAGGCTGAAAAAACAACAAAAAAAAAGTGGGCTAGCAGGAAACCAGGAGAGAAGTCTAACATATACCAATGAGAACTACAGGAGTATCACAGTTGGATCCTGAAAGGGTATTCAAAGGAGACTGCAGAAGCATAAAAACTGAACATCTCTGCTTGCCTCAGAAAAACTCAGATGAAGATACCAGCTTGTGGGCTGAGGAGTCAAAGTGGGCATGCAAAGTACCCAACATACCTATTGCATGTTGGGCACATTCTTGGTAAGTATGATAGCTTGGCCACAGTGGATCTGCTATGCTTATGTCATGCAGTTAATCTGCATATATGTAGATTCAACTGGTGTGGACATCAGCTCTCACTTTGGACAAGCTGTCCAGAAACACTGAATATATGGCCACATTCCTCTTCCATCTCTTGGAAAGCTTTCGAAGTGAAAATAAAAGACAAGTCTAAAAAGAGATGGTTGTCCTGTCTCTAAATCTTGAGGATTATGATCCAATTAGTGTTGTATATATTTCATTTTTTCCTAAGCGTCTTCTCTGTCATGAGAGTATCCTTCTGCATGACTTCATCAACTGTTTTACTGAAGGAGATCTAAAGGAAAAAAAGTATGAAAATAATCTTGTCCTGGGTTGCAGTGTATTCTATTACCATCCTCATGAGCTGTTGAAATCAGGTGGGGCAGTGTTTCCTTGCCTCCTCCTCCCAGACTATTTTACTGTTAACGGCCCATCAATGCCATGCAGCATAACTCGGAGATAACTCCCTCTGGACCATCTTCTGTTAATGAGCTTAATCAACATTTGGCCTCATGAATCATTATCCCATTGTAAAATGATCCACCCAGAGGGAGGAACTAAGCATTCCATCCTGGATATAATCTGAGATTCTGATATACCAGAGATGCTCTCTTTTTCCACTGGATTTCCAGAGGACAGGAGCTCCTTAGCCACCTCTGGACTTTTCTGAGGAAGAGCAGACCTTCCTTCTACAGGATCACCGCTTCAGGGGGACTGCAGCCACCATTCTACCGGACTGCTACCACCACCCTGATTAACAGGGTGTCAGGTTGTATCCTGACTCTGTCAGTTTAACCCAGTGTTAACTGCCTTTATTTTTTTTTTATTTTTTTAAAAATTATTTTTCCTCTTTTTATTTCCCTATTAAATTGTTATTTTGATTTGGTGTTTCCCACTAGTTTGTTTTCAAACTAGTACAAATCTTTACCACCTTTGTGAACCAGCGATCAAAAAGGTCAAATGAATCAGCTGGCTATAAACTATGACATTTACTGTCTATCAAGAATATTCATCATACTGCACGAGAAAATAATGCAACACGAGTCACAGCAAAACATATAAATTAATCTGAGTGATACAAACCTCAGCTGACATTACAGTACTTTACAGTGAAAAGCCGCTTTTTTCTCTCCCTTCCCTTCCCTTCCCTTCCCTTCCTTTCCTTTCCCTTCCTTCTTTTCTACAGTGACATTATCGCAAAATACACACTGCCAGTTACACTTTTATTTTTTATAAGGATCAAGAATAATCAGGCCTCTGCTCTTATCATAAGCCAGATAGATCACAAAATTGTGTTGGCGATTCTACTCTAAAGACAGCAGCTTGTATCTGCTATAGCCACTCTTTGGCCATTCAGTTGCTGTTGAATGTTTTGCTGGCTCAAGTACTACCTGCACAGTAAACCAAGCCCTGAAATCTCCACGTGCTTCAGTGCACAACACTCCATTTGTGTTTTACTTAAGAAAGAGACACTAAGAAGTGTTTTACTTAAAAAGAGACACTAAGATTAGTGACACAGTTAACACTTTAGCAGCAGTCTGGTTGTGGGGGGAGAAAGGTTCCTGGGTGTGTCAGATCTTCATTTTTCTCTAGGCAGGAACTGCCAGACACGATGGAGTATAGATCTTGACTAGTTCATCCCAAGCACAGTCCACCACCTACAAAGCAAACAAAATCTATTTAGATCCTTCATAAGTGTCATTTTTACAAAACCCAGAAGGAACTTAGAAGAAATTAATGCATATTGTGGAGTTAATGCTTGTTGGTACTCTGATACTTCAAAACTATATAATAATGCAGTTGGTTTTGTTTTCGTTTTTAAGAACTTTTGTCTTAACTTTACTGAGATGCATTAAAATTAATAATATCCTATTTTTCATATTCCCCATGAGGACAGCAGGGAAAACTTTGGGTTTCAACTGACTGTTCCAAATAAACTAAAGAATGTAACTGAGTATCAAATGAAGGAAGGACACACAGAAGTCCAGACCTTGTGGTGTTTCTTCTCTTTACAGGGTCTCAGGACTCTTTTACCATGGTATCTAAACACTTCGTGATCAAATCTGAACAACTTTCTTACACTTGCAGGTATGGAAAATTGTTATATTTTCCTAGTGGAGAGCTGAGGAATGGAAAAACAATGAAGTTGACCAAAATGATGCAGGAAGAATTAAGCCAGAACTTCAGTCTCACACTGATAAGCTGAGATCACTGTATTGTCTACCCAGACCTCACTAGTCTGATGAGAAATGATGCCACTTGTGCCAATGGCATCTTATAAACAGAGCAACTGATT